AAACCCASGCAATGCTTGGACGGAACATGCAAACTCTATCTAGAAAGATCCCTGGCCCAGGATTTGATCCGGCAACCTTCTTGCTGGAGGCTAAAGTTCTACAAACTGAGCCACAGTTCTGCCCATTGCTCTTGGCTACCAGCAAACCAAATATCAGCTCAACAGATCTAAAAATGTCTGAGCTGTAGCATTTCAAATTAGCTGTGGCGGCCATCTTGGATTTTAATTTTGAAATCAGATTTTGTAAAAAAAAAAAAAAAAAACATGGTTTCTCAGCCACTACTACACTAATTTTCAGCTGTGTGCGTTTAAAAATAGCTAAATGATGGTTCTTTGTGAAATTAGCACTAGCAGTTATCTCAGTTGGGACTAACAAGTTTCATCTTTTGGACTCAACCTTGTTGGGTTTTTCTTCCTGGATTAATGAGATGCATCAAGACATTTAATAACATTTTAAGAACAGGGGTTTTTTTTTGTGATCAGTTAGTTCTTGTAGTATATGTTGGGAATGACTTTCAGCTACTTCCAACCCAAATTTTAGCWCATGGTCTGTAGAATTGACTGAGTTGTGATTATTTTGTGTATAAGCCATCTTGGAAACTTCAGTCTTATCTTTAAAAAAACATTAGGTATCATGTAATTAAGAGATTTGGTGCAAAATCTGACAAGTTCAGTTTAAAACTAAATAAAAATGAAAGTGAAAAGAGCAGACTGATTGACTTGCTTCTCTTCTTTGGTATAAGTTTTTACCTCCACTGCACACGACTTTGTTCAGGTTAGCCGTCAGCTGAAAGATCGACTCCTTGATGTGCGAACTTTGTGGTCGCTGGAGTTCAGCCAAACATTTCCAGTGTCAAACACTTTGGCAGGTTATGAACATTCTTTAGCAATAACAAAAACACTTCAGCGCAGAAAAACTAATCTTTCCCAGACTTTTAAAGCGTATGAAAAAGCAATAATGTCTTATTGACCCTTTGAGTGAAAAGGCTTGATTTGTTCAAATAAACTCACATTAAACTCAGTGACACCTTGTTGTGTCTGAAACCATCCGACCAATCACGAACAAGCAGCTATTTGTTTCCTTTTATTGGGGGTGGTTTTTATTGTGGAGGCTAAACTTCCTGCAGGAAGACAGCAAAAGGATATGGTGCTGGAAGACAAACAATATTTGACCTCACCTCCCAGAGGAGTACACAGTACAGTGAGTTTGAGCTGAATGGGCCACAGCGGCTGCAGGATTGTGTACAAACAGACTGCCGGATATTATTTATGGAGGATTCAAACAACTGTGAAGGGAGGACAATCCAGTTCACACTGCTTTTAGGATAAAATACCCGAATAACAACATCAACACAAGCTGCTGACTATTGTGTGAATGCTGAGTCAGCGTTCATGCTGCTGTTTTCCTGTTCAGAGCTTTTTACATGTTTTTTTCAAAAAAACTACCTCTGCACACTTAAATATGTTTGAACGATTCACATAAATAATATTCAGCTCCATCCAGAAAAGAGCTAAAACTTTTAGTATTTCTAACTTTTATACTTTTTGAGATATTTACCTTTATTCATTAAAATATCTCTTTAGAATTACATTGAGGTATTTTCAGTTCAGTTGCTTTCTTCTGTTACTTTTAGCTTTTAGCTGTTGGCTTTCTAATTTACGCTTTTAGCTGCTGTTTTCTTATCAGAGCCTTTGGCTAATGCTTCGCTAATTTTAGCTGTTGTTAATGGTTTTGCTATATTAACGTTCAGCTAAAACTTCACATTAWAAATGGTTTTGCTAATTTCAGCATTTAGCTGTTTTTATTCATTAAGCATTTAGGTACAGAGTTTTGCTAATCCTAGCTTCTAATTACAGTTTTGCTACGTTTAGCTTTTAGCTACTGCCTTGTTTAATTTTGCTTTATCTAGTTTTACTACTTTACCTTTAGGCTAACATTTAGCAAATTTTAACTTCAACAGAAAATTTTGTTAATTTTTAGCTTTTAGCTACTGCTTTGCTAAGTTTAGTTCTTGTCAATGGATTTGCTACATTAAGCTAAAATTAGCTTATTTTTACTTCTAACTGTATCTGTTATTATGTATTATTAATTTTAGCATTAAGCTATATTTTTGCTAGCATTAGCATTTAAATACAGTTTTGCTACATTTAGCTTTTAACCATTGCTTTGCTAAATTTAGGTTTTGCTACATTAACATGTAGCTTAAACTCAGCTATTTTGCTTTATATGTTGGATAATTTTAGTTTTTAGTTATGTTTTTATTCATTTTAACATTTAGCTACAATTTCACTCTTAGATTTTATATGGTTTGCTGTATGTAGCTTATAGCTTCTTTGTTCATTTTTGCTTTCATTCATAGTTTTACTAATTTTACGTTTAAACTAACATTTAGATATTTCTTATTTTTAGCAAAACTGTACAAACTGCAAACTGTTAGCTTTTAGTTACTGTTTTGTAGGGTTGTAAGAAAATATCGATACACTGAAATATCGCGATATTTCATTTCCCGATACTGTATCGATATTCTAAAACCCTGTATCGATTTTTTATTAAGGTTTAAAATGTCAACCTTCTTGCCAACCATTAATTTTTATGTTGTAGTTCAGCCTCTGGCCATTAGTTGGCAGCAGTGAGCCAGCCATTTCGGCTCCTCTACCTCTTGAGCGCCAGAGAGTAAGGGTAGCATTAGCATTGTAAGTAAACATTAGCTTTTCCTTTTTTTTCTTCAGTAAGAGGTTTTTATTTAATAGAATTTTTGGAGAAAAAAATCGCAATATATTGCAATATATTACCGTGCTTATAGTATCGAAAATATCGGGATATATCGTATCGTGACCCCTCTGTTATGATATGTATCGTATCGCCAAATTCTTGCCAATACACAGGCTGTGTCCAAAACGGCAGGCCGGGTCCTCCGAAGGTCGAATTCGTCGGCCGCATACGTCACAGTGCCGCGACGAAGGACGTCCAAAACCGAAGACTCCTCCGATGCGGCCGACAAATACGTCCTTCATTTGGTCCAAATCAAAGGACAGGTCTGATGAATCCTTCCCAGCCCAGCATATCCCATAATGCAWTGCGGCCCGACCGGAGATTTGTTAAGGCTAGTAATGGCGGACGAAGCGAGAGAAAAGAATAC